TGTTTGTCTCTCGGCTTGTTTGTGTTTGTCTAGCTGGTTGACCAGTGTCTGGCTACCGACCAACCCAATTTGCGGTCCATTCTGCCGCTGTTGCTGCCGCTGACTTATCGCGCTACGCTGTGTATTTACAACAATCTCTAATGACATCATGACAATAAAAATATGTGTACCATATAGCTGTATAGTATATGTATATGTGTAATTGAATGGGCGCAATGCCAAAACTTACCTCATTATCAATGCCAGCGACGGCTCGGCTTCTTATCAGCGGCGCATTTCTGTTTCTGATGCTGTCGCGCAATGCCTGTAGTTCCTTCTGATGCTGCTGCTGCTTCAGATGATGCTCATGCTCGATCTTGTTCCACTGCTCGTTCGAGAAGACCTGCTCCTGGCTTGAACTATCTGCGCTGGGCTTTGCCGTCGTGGTCTTCAGCTGCAGCTGCACCTTCTCCTTGCTGGGCTTGAAGAGCCAATTGAAGATGTTGCGCTTGGCTGCTGCCTTGGGGTGATTAGCTGCCACATTTGGATGCTTGTTATTGTTGTTATTGTTGCTGTTGGGTGCATTCGCCTCGGATTGATCGTAGTCGTAGTCCTGTTCGCTGGCACTCAAGTCCGGCAGCTTCTGGCTGAAGAAGGAGTAGCGCGGCATTTGCTTGGCCAGCTCGGCAGCCACGTTCACCGCCTGATCGGCTTGATCATCCAACTCATCGTCATCGTAATCCTCGTCATCATCATCATCCTCATCGTCGTCATCATCAGCGCTGTCATCCTCATCGCTGTCCACGAGCTGCTGCTGCCAGTTGGGCGCACGCGTCGAACGCGCCTGCATCCAGGCGGTTGAAATCGAATCGCGATCGAAATAGCGCCTCGAAGAATAAATGTTGCTATCATTAAGTGCAGCATGCTGCACTGGTGCATCGGTCACCACATGAGTGGCGGGCGCGACTGTGGTCGATGGAGCCGCTGCCGTTGCCGTTGCCGGGGTCGTCATCAGCGTCTGGCGCCGCAGCTCGGGAAACACGCGCTGTTGCCAGGCAGCATGATGCCGATTGTGGTGACGCAAGTGATGCTGTTCACCTGGGCCGCCGAGCTGCAACTGGTCTGGCAACGGCGGCTGCCGGTTCTGCTCGTTGCCCGCCAGCTCTGCCCGCAGGTGCTGCTCGTGCCTTAAGTGATGGTAGCCATTGCCCAGCTGCAGTCCGTCCAGTCCGTTGCCAGCCTGTGCCCATTGCAGCTGCTGCAAGCGCTGCGACTGCGGATGATTGCGGCGGGCGCGAGCTCCGCCCGGTGCACTGGTTGTGCCATTGTGGGCGTGGCGATGCGGATGCTCCTCGGCGTAGCCCAGATCGGCCAGCAGGAGCAGCAGCAGCAGCATTAGCGGGTAGCAACCCTTGCTGCTGCCTCGCACTTGAGGCATGCTCATGGCAAATATATTTGTAGCCAGCGCTCTAGAAGTATCTATAGCTTGCAAAGTATCTATAGCTGTCAAAAGTATCTTTAGCTGTACAAATGATTTGCAACTGATCTTTACGCTTTTGCTGATACTTTTCTTCCCTCCGTTAATCTCTTATTGTTGTCTCTTGTTTTTCTCGCTTTGTTGTTTGTCTCTATTTAAAACATTTTCTTTATTTTCTTTTGTTTATGCACTTGTTGGAACGCTATATACTGCAATAATTATTTTATATTTATTTATTATTTATTTATTGCGTTTTACACTGCAATTCACAATCAGAAATTAGCATTTATTAATTATTTTCTGTCATATATAATATATTTTACACAAGATTTATGCAATTAATAAAATCTATAATTTTCTTTTATTTTTATATTCATTCTTTCATATATATATTTTTGTAAATGCATATATTTTTAAGACTTATTCCTTGCATGCAATATTCAATAAATTTTCCTTTTTAAATTTTTGTATTCGCTTTTTTTATTAAATTTAGTTTGCTTTTTCACCGTTTTTTTTTTTTTTTTTTTTTAACTTTTTAATATTGTAAGTATTTAGTAATTTAGTTGTAAAATTTATTCTTGGATTTTTATTTTCACCTAAAATATTATTATATTATAAATCTTAAATATTTTGATATATTTTTATTCGTTTTTAATTTTAAATAACTTTTTTGTTTATGTAAATTAATTCACAATTTTTAAATATTTTGACTCACTACGAATTATTGTAATTTTTTTTTTTTTCATCAAAGCACCAATAAACATTATATTGAGAAAAATTTTGTTGTTGTTTGCTTTGGACAAATTAATTTCTTTTATTAATATTCAAGTCCAATTATGATTTATTTATGTTTTGAAATTACACGCGATTTACCGTTTTTGATTGCACGCACATTATCTGAGGCATATGCCACACGAGAGACTCATGTATGTTCAGGCAATGCCCAGAGGCTTTTAGTATTATTATAATGCACGCCTTTGTTTTGTTTACCTCAATCAAATAGAATACCGAATACCCTTGGTTTAGTATAGGGAGCGATGCGTATGATGCATGCGTTTAATCCGCACACTCGACGACACGGGGCGACTTACAGATAACAACTGAATCTGAATCTGAATGGCAGCAACAAAAATCTGAACTGATGCGCCGCAATGTTGAGAGCACATGTCTGCACTGAAAGAAATAGAGAGAGCGTAGGTGCATGAGAACGGCTTGCACGGTGCAGCAAGCAATGGGAATAAGAAAGACTTATAGAACTAAAAACTGAATTAAAATATATATTAAATAAATACTTATAATTGATATATTTACTATATTTTCAATACGATTTGCTGGAGCAGTTGCTTTTGTTGCCATGTAACTGAGTGCGCAACATGTCTAGACACTTACACTAGCAACATGTTGCTCGGGCCAAAGAGAGCGCGCGCAGCATTTCTGCGCTGGCTTGCAACATGCCAGGCCAGGCACATTGTAAAGATCGAACATGTTGCGAGCGCAGCGCTCAAACATGTTGGCACAGACATTGACCGGCTTTTGATTATTTTTGATCAACATTTTGTTGCTGTTTTGTTGTTGTTGTTGTTGCTAGCAATTGGCATTGGCAGCACAGACAAAGAGATGCCCGTGTGTGTATATGATGTATGTATATTAAGGCACGGCAACTACTGCAACTAGGGTACTAGAAGTGGCAACAACGCCCACATGTTGCATGGAAGAGCCGACAACAACATCTTCAACAGCCGCCAACGACAATCATCAGCAATTCCTTGCCCCCGTCCGCGCTCGTGAGACGCACACACGTCTGTCAATGGCTGCTAGCACTTGATCCCAAATGTGGGCAGTGTACACTGCACAGCCCAGAAATCAAGAATAGCAAGAAGAAGCGAAGAACAAATTACATAATCAAATTCTGTGGCAATGTGCGCGACTGCAATATTTTTTGTTTTTGTTTGAAATGTTGCCCAAGAACTTCTTAACCACAGACAATATGCGTAGCTCTATCTTCCTCGGCTCTTCTCTCTCTCACTGTCTCGCTCTGCCTCTTTTTATCTGTGAGTTTTACATTGTGTGATTTCAAAGGAAATTGAGCATCATCTATATAGTATTTAGTGCTACGACCACCGCCAACGGTAGCTGGGCACAAATTTTCCAACTAATTGCCATTAAGCTATGGGCAATGAGTCACGAGATTTTCTGTTCCTTCTCTCGCCCTTTATAGCACCATTGCTAGATGCTGCGTATAGGGTATTCTCATTATGCGATTCAGTTTGTGAAAGGACAGAAATTCTTATAGTTATTATATGTATATAAAATGATATCATTGAACTGAAGTCTGTCAGAGCATTGTTGCCCTCTAGGGTATCTCCTAGTCGGCTAAGCTTAAACGACATGCTATATATATATATACGCATGCTTATATAAATAGTCTTTAGCTAGGGTATTTTCTAGTCAGTTGTGTCTTTGTGGCAGCAACAGGAAGCGTGAATGCATCTTAGCAAGTCCATAAAAAATCAAAGCCAAGTCGCAGTCCCATTCCAAGTCTCGTTCTCGTAAGTATGATCAATGATAAAAGGGTTGGCCATAATAAAAACAAGAAACGGAATTTTATGACGCAAGCAAAAGGGTAAGCAGACGAGGAACATCATACCCTGCCCAGACTCGAGCATAAATTGATTTTCCTGCGAAGCGTGCAAATAGGATTTGTCAAGTGATCAAATCAAATGCATAATTCCAACTAAATTCCAGAGGTGGGCAATATAATCAGTCAATAGCTTATATAAAAAATATATATAATATAGATATCTATACATTTAAATACATATAGGTAAAGGTATAGGTATACCTTTAGGCATTTATACATACATATGTATGTATAAAGATCTACATTCAAGGTATTTTCCCTAGTTAAACATCGTTCCCTTTTGTTCTTGGCTCTTTCATGTGTTAAACTCTGTTGGTTTCTTGTAAGCTCAAAGGCAAACAACTTGGCTCACAGATAAAGGCAGCTGCGCTAGTTATAAAACAAGGGAAGAACAGGGGCAAGAGAGCTCGAAATAGATGTAAATCGGGCGACTGAGTGTAACGAGCTGTATGTATGTGCGTGTCTGTGTGTTTGTGTGTGTAGCTGGGCTATAAAGTCATGCAAGCCATAAAACGTGTATTATGTGTTGAATTTAACGCTTAATTTGAGACGTCTGTCTGCTTGGCTTAAATGAGACAAACAAATGGTCCAAATGGCACACAACAAAACAAAATTCGACAATTGGAATGGATGAATGTAAATAATAGAGATGTTATGCATTGTGCGGTTGCACAATTGTAATTTAATGTGGGAGCCAAGTGCGAGAAGCTGTTTAAATTAAAGCAATTTCAATCAAGTTTTTATATGTATAGCCCGCTTAGTTCTTGATATATGTATGTATTCCTGAGAAATAAAATCTTCGTTAAAGCTCAAGAGCAACAGTGCTGTTGCACAAAGGTTCAGTTGTTGCTGGAGCTAAGCTATTCACTAAAACCGGCCCTAGAACCGGTTGAGAATTTTTACACAGACACTGCAAAAAAATAAAAATGAAAATAAAAACTTTCCTTGCAACTGCTTCGAGGCAATTATGTCAAAAGAAATTATATTCAGATGCACGTTTCGCAATTTCGATAATTTGCTTGTTTGCTTTGATTTAAATGTCAATTAATTTATTAATAAAATTTTAAGCAAAGCAACAGAGAAATTGAAGAAATTTATGCAATTCGCAGAGAAAATATGCACAAGGTCAACATGTTTGATTGATTTCGATTTGCATAAATAACTTGGTAAATTCATTAAAAACATTAAGTGATACCAGTAAACAGTTGCAGTGCGAGTTAAAACATTTCAGAAAACAAGTTCATTTGATTGCACATCAACGGCTTGTCTAATTGAATTAAATTCTGATAACTTAAAACGACTCGGGTGAACGTATAAAACTCCTTAGGGTAGGGTAGGGCAGGGTCAAAAGTAATTTATACAGGCTTAGACTGAATGATGTCAAGGCAATTAATATAATATTATTATTTGAAATATTTCTTATACGAATTTTTATAATTTCATCAATAAACAAATTTTTAATCGTAATAAACTCATTTTGTTTACTTTTTCTGCTTATAATAGTTTCAAAAATATTTGTTTAAATATTTTGATGACTTTTTTTTATATTATCCTATTAATATAATTGTGGCTTTATATATATTTTTAATTCAATTAATTACTCTAATTTCTTTAGATTTTCCAAGCTAAGAACTTTGAAAATTTTTTAAATTTTTTTTTTTTTTTTTTTTTTTTTTGTACCAGTTAAAATTATTAATTATATAAATAGTAACTTCTTTTAATTTAATGCTAGGATCACAAATTACCCTCTACCATGGCACCGTTTATTATATTACTCTCTAATCTAGCTCACTAAAAAGACTATCAAACAAATTACAATAGAAGACTTTATATAATTTCTACATTACGTTTCTGGTGAAGAAGAACTTAAAGTTTTAAAATGCAAGACCAACAGTTGGCAGTGTCATCAAGTATTCAAATTGGCCAAATGGCAGCCCGCATTGCCATATGCCAACTAATTGGCAACGTTTACAACTCTTCAACTTCGACTCTCAGCGCAAATAGCGCACTCTATTACCGTCTTCTTCTTCCGCTATTCCACTTTTCGAGACTTTGCGGCAATTAAATAATCATAGCGCACTTTACGCTGCACTCGGGCAAGGCAAAACCAAGCGACTCGTAAGCCAGAAACCCACATCAACCATGTGGCAACGCCTGAGCGGAGTGGGGGGAGATGGTAAGTAGCTAGCGCTAGGCACCTAATGAAATCATTGCCTCTGCTCGATTGGGCGTTAAAAATAATCAACGTGCTAATTAAGTTGACTAAAACTTTGCCAAACAGTCTACACAGCTAACTTCTGCGGCCGGGTGGCAACGCTGACAGACATACAGAATTGCCGGAGAGGCGAGAGCTCGGTTGGGCTGAGTATGCTGTGCGGTGCTCTGAACTCTGTAATAAAAACGAAACGTAAACTTTTCTGTAACTTTTTTATGTGTTTAAACTATTTAAAAAGTGCCACGCCCCACAAGCGACGAGCCCCCAAAATAGCAAAATAAATAAATATTCACACGCACACACAATCACACACACACACACAGACAGGCACAGACACAAACACAAGCACAACAAAGTTGATCAAACAACAACAAAATTTTAATTGCTTTAATGAGTCGCCTGAAATATCAGCAGCTAGGTAAATAAATATTTGAGCTGACATTTAACACACAACGATTCGCAAATAAAACAAGTAAGAAGGCTCTAGTCGAGACTGCTCGACTAGGAGATACCCTG